TTTTTTTTTTTTGGATCGGTAACTCAAATATGATCTTAAACCATCAAGTTGAAGTGTAATACATGGAAACATATTGTATTAAACATAGAGTGTTATTCGAGTTGAGCCGAGTACTTCACTGAGTTATAGCAATAAATACAAACATATATGTACTAAACATAGAGTGTTATTCGAGTCGAATCGAACCGGACACTTCACATTCGAGTTTAAAAAATGAGCCAAATGCTCAAACTTGAGCTCGACTCGTTTAACAAATCCAAAACTGCAAATGAGTTATTCGATCTTATGCGCGGCTAAGCTCGTTTAATAAACAACAAACTCAATTAGTTGATCGAGTTCGGCTTGATCGACTAGTGTAAACAAAAGAACAAGCCGAAGCGAGTTATATTCGTGAACAACTCGATTCAAATAACACATCTAATTACACATCCCCAACAAGTCCATGTAAAATAACAAAAATTAAATTAAAAAAATAACAATATTTTAAATTAGTGAGAGTTTAACAAGATGTCAAATGTTACCAAACTACCATGACAAAATTTCACTTCCCTCCCCCAACCTAACCATCATTCGTTAGTAAAAAACAACACATCCCACGTAGAAGATACATAGGACAACAAACAAGAAAAGCAAAAATTAACATTATTTTTTAAAGACAAATCACACCTTGTTGGTGTTGTTATTACACTGATGATTGCCTTCATCGACCAAGCCTAGCTTCCTCTTGGCCACCTTAGACCGGTAACACCACACCTCAAAGGCCTCGGTCAAATCCGGGTAACCCACATTCTTATTTTCGAGCCACTCGGTCAAGATCTCGCTTTGACTCTCAGATGGCAAGGTCGAGATAATCGACACAAATCCCGACTCGAGCGACCGCCAAAGCTCCCCATCCGCTTCCATCACCTCATCATCGTCGTCATCATCATCACCACCACCACACGCCACGCTGGCGCAATCGACCGACAACTTCACATCCCTTGCAAACGGGACCCACGTCCTCACCACGTGGACCCGCCTCGCGGCCCGCAAAACGACCCCACCGCACAAAATCGTCTCCATCACCCGATTCGTTACCTCCAAGATTTTCACTCCGCGGGCCGGGCCGGCCACCTTGACAAAATCCCCTGACATCTCAACCCATGTGCCCAAAAAATCTTCCCAAATCCCCAATTTTGGGGCAATTTGAGAAGCCCACAACAAATCGGCCAAGTACCCATCGAGCGCCTCGGGCTCGGATTTCACGAGGTCCGCGAACTGGGCCAAAAGCCCGCCCACGCACCTCCGGGCCTCCGCTCGGATTTCGTGGTCAACAGTCAACAGAGGCGGGTCGTCGTCATCGGCCAACATATACTCAAGTTGCTCTTGGGCCGCGGCCTTAGCATCACCCCTCGTGGGCCCCGCTGCCGGTGACGTGGCGAGGCGGAGAGCCGACATGAAGACTCTGGCGGCCGCTTTCGGGCCCACGGGCTTGAGTCGGGCCAATATCAGGCCCGACTCGGCCGGGCCAAGGCCCGGAACGGCTTTGAGAATCTCCTCCTCCTCCGACTCGTCCCAAGGAATTGCCTCGAGGTACTCCGCGCAAGCCGAGACAACTTGCGGGCTTCCGAGCCCAACCGCGGCCCGAAGCATGCCGAGGGCGTTTTTGGCATTACACATGTCGGCCACGGTCGGGCTCGGAGGGTCTCGGTAGAGGAGCCTAAGGAGAGAAATGTGGTGGTCGAAGTCGGGTTCCGGGCAATGGACCTCGACACACGTGCGGGAGTCGAGGATTTGGCACGTAGGCCACTTGTCCGAGAGGCGGTCTGCGAAATACGAGCTGTTTTTTGTGAGCACATGTGAGTGGCAGTAGACCCACTCATCACGGCCCTCGTGGGTTCGGATGCGAACAACGAGGTCGCTGGTCGATCGGTCGCCGAACGTGCCTGGCGTCAGTGACTCATGATTATGCTATAAAAATGGATTTGGAAAAGAACAATCAATGAAAGATGGAATTGTAGAGAAGTTCTGTAGAGGGTTGGGATTTCTAGAGATTCGAGATTTAGAGAGATTGGGGGAACTTACGCACGGTTCCATCAAATGGTCGTGTAGAGCTAAAGATAACAGCTTAAAAACCGATGTTGTACCTGTGGCATTAGCATATAAGTAAAAATGAATTCAAGGGAGGAACAGAACGTCAAAACCTATGCACGGGAAAAAAAATTTGTAAAGAAGACGACATATTTTCTTCTCATTCTTTCTTCCGGAACATGGAAGTTTTCTCTAAAAACACAAGTCCACAATTCAAATAACTCCAAAACATGTCAAAGCGAGTGGTGAAATATAAACAATCAATAATTTCCACTAATCCTGCAATTCAATCAGGAGTTAATCATGAGCCGAGCTATAAAAAAATTAAACAAAAATCCCTATTCTTGAGCTTTATCGAGTCAAGCTCCGCGTTTAACATCTCTAATACCAACAACACCGAGAATGAATATGGTAAAATCAAATATGAATGTTCATACTTAATTAACAATTTCCCAGATAAAAGAAGCAGTTATGCAACACTATCAAGGATACATCCAGAGTTCATACACCACTATTGAGACAATTATTATCTCAAAGCAAAACAGCTCAACAATAACCAGCTTCGCATAAGTTGAAATCCAATGGCTTTAGCAACCGAATTACGAAATAAAATAAGACCACACGATAAGTTCAATTCACCGTTGAAAATGCTCCTCAAAGAATGGATTCGGAAAATGCAACAGATATTTCAGCTAAATTGGACTCACCAAAAGTGCAGAACAAGTCGACACACAAAAAAGTGAAGCAAACAATGGGAGTAATAACTACTAACTACTTTGTCAACTCATTTCAAACCTGCAAACAAAAACGATGCATGAGCTGCAAGACCCGAACCCGAACACCCACTTCCTGCAACCCGCAATCCTTCAAAGACCCATTAACGAGCATGTCAATGTACGGGTCGCTGCGACAAAATTCAGCAATGTCAAATCAAATTCGGTAAATGGACACACAAAAAAACACCGAACAACCAAAATATAAATCAAAATTCTATCCTTCCCAAATACAAAATTCAGAAAATCGAATTTCTGAAAATCGGGTTTGCAACGATTTTTTCATATATACAACCTTAAAAGTACTGAAAACAGCAGACTTTCAGCACACTAGCATATCAAAAATTGAGCTGCAACAAGATGATAACCTGCTTTACACATAACTACACAAGTCAAAATCCCATAGCTTTGGCAACGAAATTAGGGAATAAAATAAGGCCACAACATAAGTTCAATTCATTCACCGTTGAAAAAGCGTCTTCTCAAAGACTCTAGTTTGGAAAAAAAAAAAAAATGCAACAGATATTTCAGATGAATTTTGACCCAAACAAAAGGGCAAAACGAGTCAACAATGAACAAAGTTAACTAATGACTCACGAGTCAACTCATATCAAACCTGCAACCCAGAAAACGGCGCATGAGCTGCAAGACCCAAACCCGTATACCCGCTTCCTGCAACCCGGAATCCTTCAAAGACCCATTAACGACCGGGTCAATCAGCACAGGAGACACTGAAAAAATCAGCCATCAAATCAAATTCTGTAAAAACAACAGCAGATTTCAGCACACGGGCATGTCAAATTGAGTTGAGGATTTTGCTCGCTCTTGCTTACCATGGTTGAGAACTTGAGTTTAACAGATGAGGAAATGAGTTTTCTCACGTTTGGGCCGGTCTAATCTGATTTGGGCCATATCTATATAAAATCTTTCGTGGACCAGTTTGATTCAGCTTTTATGTATGTATTGACGTGGACTTGGCCCAAAAGAGTAAATGACAGAAGAGAAAGAGAACTTCCAAGTAGTCCAATATCTTGTGCATGGTCACGGGTTAATATATTGGCAAAATTTTATTGATACTTAACGAAAGTAAATTATTTATAAATATACCATGAGATGATATTGTATTGCATTCCTATAAAATATGGTAGAAATAATTATCAATATGCTAACTTTGCAGTTACAAAATCTGAAGAGTTGTAACCTCTCAGTGATAATGGACCTTTTTTACGATAAAAATAAAAGAGATAAAAACCAACATGGAAAGTAAATAAATCTTAAAAATAAAGAAGGTGGTTCAGTGGAAATAGGGAAGATAATGCTCTTGAATTTCAAGCGAATTCGTATAACTCAATAAAAATCTGATTCTTTCCATCCCAATTCCACGCAGTATATATTGCGTATATATTCAGTATATAAACTAATTAATATATTCGAAAAAACATGTATTATCTTCGTTTTGAAACTGGTTTATGTATATATGTAGTATATTTTCTGGGTTTTTATCCGATCTGATGTTTCTAT